TGCCTCTTCATGCTTCATCCTCCCAGTCATTTCTGGTCCCTGTGTCACTCATGTCCAAGTTGGCACTCCTCACTCTGTGCACTGTCGCTGCAGTGAAACTTAGCCCTTCCTTGCCATACCTCCCTGTCAGCACAGCCTGGTGCCCAGCTCCCACCTCGGGTCTCCTGCAGCGGCCCGTGCTTCACAGCTCTGGCTCTCACTTGCATGCTGCCCCGGGCAGGGTTGGTTTCTAATTCATGTGTATCTTGTCTCTGCAGTGTGCCTGCCAGCTTCTCCACAGCCGGCCTGGGTCGTCTTCTTTATGGCCCCTCACAGTCCCCTAGTGGGGCACTCTCTCTATAGTAGGTGCTCAAGAAATACATTTTCAACTCAATTGAAGGGAATAGGCTCCCGTAACAGAATGAACTCATTTCAGAAGTTCATTACCAAGTCTTGAAAGCCTTTTTTTATAGATCCTCCTGGACTGAATCCAGCTCTACCTTAATTAGCAAAGCAATTTGCAACACCCTTTCCCAAAAGTGCTTATGCGTCCCTTTGTGTGACTAGAATAGGGGCCGCTGTACCAATTGCTGTCACCACCCAAAATTCAATTTGGAAAATCGAAATCAGTGCCTGCGGCACCGATGTAGATTTGTATGTATAAAAGTTTAATATGGTAAAGAGAAATTTACTGACGACTGAGCAGGGGAAATGCAAAAGGAGCAAAAATAGAGCTATAAAGGACACTCGTCAGATGAACATCTATTTTATTCACATTTGGGGAGCAGTGCTGAATTTTTCATAATGTCCCCACTGCTGCCTTTTTCAAACCCAGCACTGCTATTAGTCCTAAAACGTCCATGATCTCATTAGGTATGAATGCAAAATCAGGTAATTTAAAGCTTGTATTAAGAATATTTCTAAAAATGCACAGTCCATTTCATCAGAAAAACTGCATTTCAGAACTCAGGAATGTTAGTGCTGGAGTCTGTGAATAAAGTGTAAGCTATAGGAACGTGGTGAGGCTTCTGGAATTTGACAGATGTCTCCACTGACATCCTTTTAAGGATGACTTTTTTAATTGCTGAGCTTGAGTTATCTGTGGCTAGGAACCCAGCATTGATCAAGGCTTCATCACTCCTCAGGCAGTAAGAACTTGCTAGAAATGGGTATATCTCAAACTCCTGTCACCTCCACTGAGCTGCTTTTACAGCCTCAGACACCTTCTGACCTCAAACAGGAAACTGGGTGGCAAGTCTGTTTTAGGACTCAGGTGTTTGATTTTCTTTCTCGGATTACAGTTGAGTCCAGGACTTCTGGGAACTCTCCAGGAGACTGTCTCTTTCACACAGAGGAAGCTTAAGAAATGAGAGTACCTGAGCGTCACTTTGCTTTTTGCACTTAGACTTTGTGCACTTTGCTCTTACAGGAGCAGCACTCTGCAAGGGTGACCCGTCCCTTGTACCTCTCCTGTCTGTCCTGCTGCCCATCAGAGATGGGACTAGGTGGCAAGGAAGGACAGCACTTTATAGGACACCTGCTTGAGGGTATGATACAAGGTTGCTGAGCAGCCTACTGGTGACTTCTCACTGCTAGAGAGTTGGAGCAGGAACTTGAGTTGACAAGGTGTTTGAGGGTGAGGATCTGGTTGGAATGCAGGTTTATCAGGAAGCAGTGTTAGGAGCCCAGGAGAGAGGCAGAGGCTATGGGAGGAAGGCAAATCAGCGTGTGGACTCCTTTCCTAAGAGCTTAGTTGGGAAGGTGGTGGGGATGGTGGCAGGATGGGAGGGTCCAGATAAGCGGCCATCAGGTGAAGACCAGGTACAGCAGACAACTGCTCTCTTGGCAGACCATGGAGTGCTCAGTGACCACTGAGAGCCACCAGCATCAGTCAGGAGTGAAGCCTCAGCAGTTTCTCATCCGTCCTCACTTCCGTTTCCAGCGCCATCATCTGCAGTGCACACCAGCCATGCTGATCCACTGATAACATGCTGACCCATTCCCTGGGCACGGGCTCCACCTGGTCCTGTGCCTGGAGCGCCCCCACTCCCTTGCTGTTACATGCACCCATCCTCAGCCGCTCATTCTCCAGCACTTCCTGCCTGGCCCCGCAGGCCCATAGCACCTCGTACATGCCCCTTCGTTCCACTCTCACCAGGGTGGTCCTAAACCGTTCTGTCCTTTCCCCTCTTACTTTGTGAGACAGGGGCCTGTGTTTACTACAGCTCTTTACTACTAATAACTGTAAGAAAAACTAATCACTCACATTTATCGGTGTTCCAGGCCTGGAATTCAGAGCAGCCCAAGCATTACCTCATTTATCCTCGCACCACCCTGGGAAGTAGGGGCTATTATTATATTTTCTTTTAAAAGAAAGGTTAAGTTGGCCAGTATGCTTCAAAAATGTTCAATGCATGAAAGACAAAGGCCGAGGAACTGTCCCGGATTAAAAGAGACTAAAAGATACATGACTGTTACATGCAGCAGGACATCCTGTTTTTCCTTAGATTATTATTGAGACAATTGACAGAATTGGAATATGGACTGTGCATTAGGTAATAATGTTGTATCGATGTTAAGTGGCCTGAATTTGATCACTGAACTGTGGTTATATAAGAGAATGTTCTTCTTAGGAAATGCACAATGAAATATTATGGGGTGAAGGGGCATTATGCTCCTACTTTCAAGTGGATCAGAAGAAAGATACGTATGTACAGATACAGAGAAAGATAAACTGGCAACTTTTTTTTTTTAAGTGTGTTTCATGGGGGAAGAGTGAATGGTTTGCCTGACATCACATAGCTGATAAGGGATGGTGCCAGGATTCAACCCAGACAGTTTGGCTCCACTGCTCCCTACAGCCTTGGAGGTACTCATTCACCCAAGCATCCCCTGCTCATGGATGGGCCAAGCATGCTCTAGGGTCTCAGTGAATGCCTGTTAAATTTATAAGTGAGCACACTTTGGGAGGCCGAGGCGGGCAAATCACAAGGTCAGGAGTTCGAGACCAGTCTGGCCAACATGGTGAAAGCCTGTCTCTTCTAAAAATACACAAAATTAACTGCACCAGTGGTGGGTGCCTGTAATCCTAGCTACTTGGGAGGCTGAGGCAGGAGAATCACTTGAACCCGGGAGGCGGAGGTTGCAGTGAGCTGAGATCGCGCCACTGCACTCCAGCGTTAGCTTTTGGCTATGCATGCCCTGCTGAAGAAATATTCCAGATGTGTTCGTCCAGATGTGTGCAGAAGTCCATTCTAGCGGGACTTTCCCTGGAAGAGCTGTCAGGCAGCAGGGAGGCACCAGCCTCATCCTTTTCCATTCATTCTGTCCACTCAGATAATGACTTTGATTATTATTCAGCAAACACTGGCCACCTCTTCAGGCCATAATCCTTCCTCTTCTGATGTATCTAGCTGTTCTCATGATGAGTAGCCTGAACCCAGGAATGGGTCAGGTAGAACTAAATGATGGATTGTCTTTTTTGTTTGCTGTAAAGTAGGGACCTCATTTGACATGCACAGAGAGGCAGCAGTGGAGCTGCCTATTAAACTCCTTTACTACTGATTTATTTATGCTCTGCCTTCTCCAAGGAAGGATTTAAGTTAGGAAAAAATCCATTTGAATTTTGGGGGAAAAAAATGTAAAAGAGAAAGTTTTGTTCTGGGGAGCTTTTCAAAATTCTTGACAGAAAAATTTAAAGAATTATACATAAGTAATAGCAAGGACAGAGTAAAGGGAAAGTTCGAACTAGAGGGAAGAGACCACGCCTCCTCTGTATGCCGCCTGTCTTCCTGACCACGCCTCCTCTGTATGCTGTCTGTCTTCCTGACCACACCTCCTCTGTATGCTGCGTCTTCCAGAGAATGCCCATCGGGGCATCGCTGTCTCTGGCACCAGAGAATTTACTTATATCCCCCTTTCTATGGCAACGCCTCAGGGTTCTGGGCCATCTCCTTTCTAGCAGGACTTAACTGTGGTCCCATCTTGGTTCTCCTCAGTTTACCCATTTTATCTTAAATGTTGCTGCCTTCATGTTTCTTCCCTTCTTGTAGAGTTTCAGCAGCTCCCCACTTATCACAGATGAAAACTCAGGTGATTTTTTTTGTTTTGGTTTTTTTTTTGCCTTTGCTAAAAGATTCTGTTGGTCTGAGGCTGGGCATGGTGGCTCACGCCTATAACCCCAGCACTGGGAGGCTGAGGCAGGCAGATCACTTGAGGTCAGGAGTTCGAAACCAGCCTGGCCAACATGGTGAAACCCTGTCTCTACTAAAAAATACAAAAATTAGCTGAGTGTGGTGGCACATGCCTTTAATCCCAGCTACTCGGGAGGCTGAGGCTGGAGAATTACTTGAACCCAGGAGGCGGAGGTTGCAGTGAGCCAAGATTGTGCCACTGCACTCTAGCCTGGGCAGTAGAGTAAGACTCTGTCTCAAAAAAAGAAAAAAGAAAAAAAGAATCTACTGGTCTGGCCTGAAGCATCCCAGAGGATTCCTGCCTCCTCCTCCTTGCTGACAGCATCTCCTCCCCCAGGAAGGCCTGCCCTTCTCCCTTCTGCTCGCTGACCCCTGTGCTTCTTTCAGAACCTAGCGTCGTCTCACTTCCATCATGCACTGACCACTTGAACATGTGGAGACTCCCCCACTGAGTCCCTGTAGCCCACCCTGCCCAGCACCCCCTTTGTTAGGCACGCCTTTCCAACCTTACATTTCTATTGTGGCATCTCTCACTGCAGCTGGTGTCGTGGCTCACAAATCACAGATGCTCCACAAATGCTTGTTTGCTGATTAATCTGATTTTTCTGCAGGTTGGGGAGTTGATGAGGCAGAGCTATGCCTCCAAAAAGTAGTTTCTAATAGCAGAGCTATAGTCCAGGTTTGCTTCCCGCAGAGTGGAGAAGCCAGTGCTAGCTGCAGGCCTGCTTCATGTGAATGCCTTATTAAGTATGGTCTTTCCTCGAGGTACAGACACTGTGGGAGGCAGGACTCCTTTGCTCACCTCCTTGGGGGTTCTTTGCTTTTCAGGTTGCAGAGCCTGAGGCCTGTGATCAGATGTACGAGAGCTTAGCGCGACTCCATTCAAACTACTACAAACACAAGGTGAGTGGGCCACAGTCTTTTATATCCCCAGCTTTCTGACAGGACAACTAATAAGAATGAGTGAAAATCTGATTATATAATGTTTTGTAAAGAATTGGCTTTGCTGCTTTCAAATGAAACCAGTAATTTCAACCAAGCCAACAGAGGTGCCTGGTAGAGGCTTTTACACCACCTAAATAAAGCTGTTTAAAATTGTGAATACAGGGAAAAGGGAAGAAACAAAGAAAACCAATTATGAATAGAAGCCATGTATTTGATATGCCAGTGTGTGCTCCTGGGAGTGTCTGACAGCCATTGGATTTACACCAATTTTCCCATTCACTCTGTTGGAACTGACACCTCCCCACACTCTGGTGATAAAGGTGGGATGATTGGGAAAGTGCCGTCCTTTCCGGAGCTGGGCCCCAACATGATTACTGTCAAATTCCATTTAGAGTGGTTTTTCCCATACTTGAAAAATGTGTCCAGTAACTCCACAAACGTGGCCATATGCCTATGTGGAAGATGGATTTTTTCTAAATCCTCCCTACTAACATGTGATCCATGAGCAGCAGCATGGGCATCACCTGGGAGCTGGTTAGAAAAGCAAATCGGGGGCCCCACCCATACCTGCGTTTTCCAGGGAGGACTCATGGGTACATTAAAGTTGGAGCTGCCTGCTGGAGACTGTACTGGTTCTTGTGAGGCCAAGTCTTAACCTCAAGGTGGCGCTGCTCTTCTTGCTAGGCCTGGCCTCTGGTTGCCTAGGGCCCAGATGAAATGCAGTCAGAGAGCAGGGCTTGTGGACTGATCTCTCTCCTCCCTTCACTTCCTTTCTGCCCCGGTGACCAGTACCCTCGCCCCAGAGACACCAGCTTCAGTGGCCTGTCGTTGGAAGAGTACAAGCTGATCCTGTCCACAGGTAATGAAAGCACAGCTGCCTTTTCTCATTGGTTTGCAAATGACTCTGAGTTTGAGTGGCCAAGGGGAATTGTCTAAGAAGGCAGCTTTGCTTGATGGAAAGTCTTGTAGAACAGCCCAGAGGAAATTCTGAAGCTACAGGGCTCATGCATTTTGACCATATACTGTGGAGAAGGTCAAAGGCGTTATTTAAAAAAGAAAATCTATCTTTAGTGCTTTTAAATTCAAGGCTGGGCAGCAGGGAACAGGGGACTACATATTTGCCAAATGGAAGTAGTTGAAATCAGGATGGAAGGAAAATTATTTTATTTTTATGGTCCTAAGGGGGCTTTATAAACAATGAAGGTTTTAATTAAAACAAAAAGCCATTCAATAAACGTGTTTGGGGATATCCGCCTAAGAGTTATCTGACCCAGGGGACGTAGTCTGTGGGTTAGATATGAGTTGAACTAGGTATGTTTTAGAGTCATTGATAGACTCTGATTAACAAGAAAGGAAACATCCTGCCAAGCCTGTCCTTTCCTTAATTCCCTATCTCCATTGTCCCTAAGGAGGGGGGCCAGAGAGCCAGGGCTGAAGTAGGCAGGTACTGGAAAATTACTATTTTTGTTGCCAAGTATATTATATACAAAAATAGGCTAACCTTTTCTGGAAGGGCATGGCCCTGACACATTTCCTTCTGGTATTCTAGAAATATGTCTTTCCTCTTCTTCTGGCAGCCTTCAGCAACTTAGTTTTGAGGATTTGGGCTTCTAGAAAACCATCTTCTGAGATTAAAACCTGGTGGTGTCACCTGCTATTACATGTCAACTCTAACCCTGTTTTTATTCCAGTACTCTCTGGGAAAATGGGTGAAGATATTTTGGCCAGGCAAAATCACTTTATTGGCGATTTTTTTAATGTGTAAATTTACTCTTCTATCCCTGGGTCCGTCTAATTAGCAGCATTGATGCACATTATCGTGAGGGCCCTGGACAGTTTGAGCAAAGTTTGAACTTGAAGTGAGGGTGGAAATAAGTTCCAGAGGCCCTGCTTCTGCCCTCTATGTTGTTCACCTCAGGGCAGCCTCTGCAAGTGGAAAACAGGCAGCAACGAAGGCTAGGAGATAGTCCTGCCATTGGTCCACGCTGCAGCTTGTTCTGGCGGCAAGTTTAGTTCCAGGAAATTTGCTGAGAATTTGTTTTCACAGCAAGCCTCGTATTTTTGCTGCAAATTGTGTGGCGTAAGCTTACCAAATGTTTCCTCTGACAGGACAAGAAAAGACCTGCAGCACCTTGTAGCGAGAGGCTTTGAGGGCCTGGCGAGTCTGAAATGTGCTGTGTTCTGGGTCACGTGTGTGTCCACCCTGGGACTGGTGTCATGGAAAGCGCCTTAGGGAGGCCTCAGGGCTTGGAGATGGACAGTGTCCCTCAATGTCCACCTGGACACTGGAAACGTGGACTTCCGGAAAAGCGCCAGAGCAGGGGCTTTTTTCTGTCACCTTTCTTGGTCAGAAAAGATACCCTTTTCTCCGGTAGTTTTGTTAACGTGAAAATTCAGGCCAGGCAAGCAAAACAATATTATAAGAATATCTAAAATTTAACATATACGTAAAATTAGATTTCATGGAACATTAGCCCTAGAGACTTCAGAAAAATGGTTCCGTACTGGGGGTGATTTTGCCTCCCAGGGGACATGTGGCAATCTCTGGAGACATTTTTAGTTGTCACAACTGGTGGCGGGGGCAGCGGTGCTACTGGCATTAGTGGGTAGAGGCCGGGATGCTTCAAAACAGCCTTCGATGATGCACAGGCCAGCCCACAACGAAAAATTATCTGGCCCAAAGTGTTGGTAGTGCCAAGGCCAAGAAACCCTGCTTTGGTTCCTGGGTGTGGGGACGTGTATTTTCTTAAACAAAAGCCCCTCCCACCCGCACTGTGGTGGAGATGGCTGCCTTTTCATTGAGTGCAGGCTGTGTGCCAAGCAAGTTACTTCCATGATTTTCTTTAATCCTGACAACTTTGGAGGTACATGGTTTTTTTTTTCTTTCTTTTTCACCTCTCCCCAAGTTGTCTGCAGATGTGTGTTTTTATCTTCATTTTACAGATGAGGAACCCGAAGTATAGAGGGTTGAGTAATGTGCTTGAGGGGACCCACAGTGGGAGGGGACCCACAGTGGGAGACAATGGGCTGGGATTCAGGCCTAAGTCCATCCCTCTCTCAGTGCCTGCTTAATTCCACAGCATGTGCTGGACCTGCACGCCAGGATTCAAATCCCTGCTCCACTTCCCAGCTGTGCAAACTGAGCAAGTTACTTCACTGCCTCCTGCCTCAGTTTCCACACCTGAAAATGAGACAGGCCTGTGTGGAGCAGGCCAAATTTTGCGATGGACCATCTGGGCCTGTGGGTTGCACAGCAGACAGTGCAGGGCCATTTCTTTGCCCTCGTATGGAGCAGGGCAATGAGCAGCACACCCTGCTTTGATGCCAAGGGTGAGGAGAGGGCAAGAAACCACTGAGAGCATGCTGGGCACACAGCCTGGCACACAGTGCTCAGTCACCGCGAGTGGTCACTTCTGTTACCCTGTTTGATCTGCTCCTCAGAAGCTGGGTCTACACTTCCCTTTTTCAGGAACACACTGTGTGAAAAGCAAGGCATGCTTGTGTCGGGAAAGCCCCATGGGTCCAATCTACGTCATCAAGTTTTAGACTTGTCTCTCTCTTTTTGTCTTTCCCTTTTGCAGACACCTTGGAAGAGCTTAAGGAAATGGATAAAAGCATGTGGAAGAAACTGCAGGAGAAGTTTTCCTCCAAGGGTCCTGAGGAGGATCATAAGGCGTGAGCTCAGGCCTTACCTCGCCCACGTATCTAGGTGTGGAGTCTTGTACATTGCCATCGTCAATAAAACTGCCCCAGTTTCCCCGTGACCTTACGGTTTGGGAATCTCCTCTAGCCTTCCCAGAAAGGAAGGCTCTAAAGAAAGTTTCAGCCTCAGAAGGGATGGCGATTGGGCTGTCTGCTGTCACTGCTGCTCAGGGGAGGGAAATCTCCTGGGGAGAGGAAATGCAGGTTTCCCTCTGGGCCTGACAAGGGAAGGTAATGGGGCCTCCGCACAAGGTGCTTCCTGCAGGACCAGAGGAGCCCCCGCCCCTCCAGCAGGGGTCTGGTGCCTCCTGGCAAGATAATCGGGCTCCCTTTTGTTGTAGGAGCTCCTGGGAGGAAGCCAAAAATAGCAGTAAATACTGAAAAGGGCATCCTGTTGCAAACAGAAAGCATCAGGGAAGTGTGAGGCCCAGAGAGGCAAAAAGCCTGCTTGGCCCTCATCCCCACTGACTCAGAGGACGAACCTCAGGCCTCTGTCCCTGACCTTGCAAAAACCCACACTGCCCAATTGGCTTAAGGGACAGGGAAGCTATAGACAGGCCTTGGCCAGGCGGGGCCTCAGCTGCAGTTGGCTTCAGCATTGTGGGCAGGTTCTGTAGGTGGCCACAAGTCAGAGGCCCTGCTGGCTGAGGACACACACAGGGTCACCTCATTATTCCATGGAACTTTGGCTCTTACTGATAGACACATTCACTTTCCTAGTTGAGCATTCTTCTGTCTGGAACCGTGAGGGACCAGGCTGGGCCCACAGCGCCCCTGGTGGGTACAAACTAGAAGTGGGTTCTCAACCTCGTCTGTGTCTAGACTCCTCAGGATGTTCTGAAATGCATAAAATAAAATCGACAGGACTGCAGTAGAAACTAGTTATGCCTAAATGCAGTTCTGGGTAGGGAGATCTCAGGGGAGGACCCGAGACATGATGTCACTCAGTGCATCTCCCGAGAGCCTGAGGAGAGGCCAGGCCAGCAGGGAGGGACTCTTGTTCCTGTCTTCTGCCAGTGTGTCCTGTTAATGCCCACAGCCCCCGGGGGAGTGCAGGAAACACAACCCTTTTTAACGGACTAGACTTCTATTAATTTATTTAAGGCAATTAACATATTAGTTCTCAGGCCAAAGGATTTGTAAAACATTACACCAAAAGGAGAAAAACAAGCGGTCATGAAACAGCCATGCGAACGCCGCTCAGCCCTTGTTTGCCTGGGCATACAACTCTCCCCCAGGAAGCCTGGGAAGAGGCAGGTCCCAGGAGCAAGATCGTCCATCATGGAGTCATCAGGCCACCTACAGCCATGCCAGGGTGGCATGGACACGACAGTGAGGTCTGCACTGGCTACAGCAGATCTGAGGCACGGAGGGAGCTGTACAGCCATGGGCAGGGCTGAGCACAGCACCCTTGGAATAAGTTAAATAACAAAGCCCTAAAATCACTAGTAATAGCATTACTGCCACCTCCCCAGAGGCCGGCAGCAGCCAAAATGTAGTGCTTGGAGATAAAGGGGTGACCCCACTTTTAACTACCCATGAGGAGGACTACAAAGAGTTGTCAGTTATTGCTTTAAGGGACAAAGGTCTCTAGGTAGGATTTGTCTTCTGCTAAGGCATTAAGGTAAACTGAGTCCCAGTGAACTTTCAAGTCTTTTTTTTTTTAAGGGCTCTAAGCAGGTCTGTGAGCTCTGAGGCTCCCCCTCCATGCTGTTGAAAGCGTGGGTGGGTGTCGGGGTGTCTGGCAGAGTAGGGGTGGAGGCTGGCCAGCTGGCTGGGCCACCCAACCCGGGGGAGGGGGCAGTGTTCTTCACAATCGCAGTCTCCAGTGATGAGCATCCCCTGCTGGGGCCTTCAGTGGCTCTTCTCAGCGGCTCATGCAGTTCTGGACATCCACAAAGCCTAGGCGTTGCCTGCGTTTCCGCTGCTCTGTCATCTAGGGTTAAGCAGATGCCAACAGGCCCAGTCAGGCCTCCTGGCACCTTCTCTCCATGGGTGCTGTGGAAGGGCTTGGCGCCCGTCTTCCTCTGTGGGCCCAGCTGCTATTCAGCACTGGCGGTGGGCCAGGGCCCCTCGGGGTGCTTTAAGGATGTCGATGTCAGCACCAAACCCTTGTTCTCAATTAGCGTGTCACAAACCCCGGATCTGATGCAGCTGGGAAACCAGCCCACTAACAGGCTGCCTCATCTTCATGCAGGCACTGCCAGATGCAGAGGAGGATGTCTAGGCAAGGGGGCCTTAAACTCAGGAATCCCCTCAAAGGACCTACCTGGCAGCTGCAAGAGGAAGGGGATGAGAGACAGAGGGCCCCACCACCCTGTACTAAGTTTCCACTTGGCCTTGTCTTTAACGGCCCAAGGCAGGGGTTGTCAACCCCAGTCTGACTTGCCATGTAGGGGAGAGTGGGTTTGGAACCTACCTTCTCATCCAGGGCCAGAGGCCAGTGGGGAAGAGGGTAGGGCAGGAAGGATGAAGGCAGGCAGGGGCTGCCCAGGGATAGAGCCCAGGGTGGGCCTGGGATCAAGCAGGGTGCATACCTGCTCCTTGAGCTCGTTGAGCTGGGCAGTGAGGTGGGACACCAGCTTCATGGTGGAGTTGAGCTTGTCCTGGAGAATCCGAATCTCATTCTGCTCCCCCTCGCCCTCGTTGCTGACAAGGGACATGGCCCGCATCCGGGGGAACCAGTCCAGGTTCTTGTTCTGAAAAACATCACCAGTGGGTGAGCAGGCATGGGCCCAGCCCAGAAAGGCCTCATTTAGAGTAATGTGGGGGGAGGCTTCTGCCACACCCTTGACAAAATTACTCGTCAGGGATGTGTCATGGGAAAATCTGAATTGACCTGGTCCTCCCTGGGGCCAGAGTGAGCTGGCAGTCAACCCTCTGTCAACCCTCTGCCACCGAGACAGGCTGACTTCCGTTAGACAGCGTCGGCAGCTGAGTTTGAGTCCTTCGCTGGTATCAGCACCATCTGTTTACTCTCATAACACCCCCTGAGAGGTGGAGGAAGGCCTCTGCACCCAGACAGACCCTGAATCTCCTTCCTTCCTTCCTCCTGCCCGCCTGCCTGACAAGCACGCCCCACGCCCCGGGAAGACACAAGTTAGACAGATGGCAAACGGAGGGAGCGGGAGGCTCCGCTGAGGAAAGCTGGCATCTGACACGTGTCTGGGAGGCAAAGCCACGTTTCCCAGGACAGAGGAGTGGGGAGGGAGGGGCACTAAGCAGTTCTCGGCTTCCTTGTGAGCTGTGAATCTCAGACCAGCAGATAAACCTGTACACAAAGATCAGCTCGAAATACAGACTTAAACGACAAAGAATTCCTTCTTTATGATTCATTGTCTTCACTCCATTATTACAGACATTGGACAGATGATATTTAAAGTTTTTCCAGGCTCCCCTTCAGCCCAGGACCATCTAATTCAGACTTTTTAGGAAGCAGCCTGCCTTCCCACCAAGCTAGAAAACACTCCCTGAGAGCGGCCCACAGATCACTGGCCAAGGCAGGATCTCCCCGACTCCACCCCGCCTCAGCATCACTGCACCACAGGCCCAGGGATACCACACGCGTTCTTCGGGGCTGATGGGTTTGCTGTGGGATTTTTCCTGACACCCAGAAGTGGGAGGAGGCCCCTCCGCAGCAGCGGGCCCCCGGCAGGGCCCCCGTGCAGCCCAGAGCTGCTTCCAGCTGCTGCTCCTCGCCCTGTTGACCTTTCAGCAAGTGTCTGCAGCTGTCCAAGCCCCTCCCCTGGCCTCCCAGGGCCGACAGACAGATGTGGCCACTCCTCGCCAGAGCCCAGGGCACTCAGAAGCTAAAGCCATGAGGCCTCTGGTGCACAGTGATGTTGACTCGAGAATGGCTGGCTGGTTTGGGCCCACAGGCCCGGCGCAGCCCCTGCTCACACCTTGATCATTTGGGCCACGTAGCTCTCGGGGCCCGTGTAGTCGGTCTTGTTCTTCACGCGGACCAGGACAATGAAGTACAAGTAGTTCCACATGTTGTGCTCCAGCTTGATGTGTTCCTCAAATGACACCGTCTTGTTATCAAACTTGTCCCTCTCCAGACCTGAGGGTGCAGAGGGCGGGAATGAAACCATCAGCCATCAAGAGCCACTGCAGGGCCACCTGCTGGAGGGGACCCAGCTTGGGGACGGGGAGGCATTTATTCTCGGGATGAGCGCTTCCAACAGCTTGCTCTGGGCTATTTGGGTCACTTCTATTTGAAGCAACAGCCACTTAGTGGAGATCCTGCCCTGCCGCAGCTGCAGCCCTCCCGCAGCTGAAACTGAGGACTCTAGTAGTAAACGCCAGAATTCCCCGAACTCAGGGGAAGCATGAATGGCTGAATAAGCGAGGTCCTACAGGCCATACAGGTGACACCTGCCTGAGCCCGAGGTGGCTGGTGAGGGGACTAGCACTTCGTTTCAGGGGTGGGAAAAGCACTGGACCAAGACTAGAAGCTCCAGGCACTGTCTGGGCTCAAGTCCTCGCCTAGAAACCCCAGGGGTTTACAGGGATGGCCCTGTCTCGCTCCCTTCTGACTCCAAGTTCAGGCAGGGTCATGTTCTCCCCAGTTCTGGGATAAGCAAATGCATCAAATCATCAGCCCCAGGGCAGGATTCCCCAGGGCAGGAGGGGCCAAACCGCCACTGCCGCTGGCGTCAGATGATGTCCCAGCCCCGCTGCGGCCTCCGCAGAGCAGGAAGCAACCCTCACCACAGATGAAGCATGTCGTCTTGAGAATCTCCTCCTTCTTCTGCTTCTCACTACGCAGGTCAGCGAAGGTGTCGATGATTACCCCAAAGATGAGGTTCAGCACGATGATGATGACGATGAAGAAGAACAGGAGGTCATAGACCACTCTCGCTGGGAAGAGAGACTCCTGTGGGGGGTGAGGCAGGGAGGCTGGGCCCGGTGGTCCCCACATTCACCCGGGCAAGACAGGACTCAGGTGGGGGCCAGGGCTGTGATGAGGGCCTCTGGCTTAGGGGCTGTCAGATGGCAGAGTGGACCCAACCTGGCTCCAGAGCAAGAATTGCAAGCAAAAGCCCTGAGTTTGGGTTAGGAAAGCGTGGACTCAGGACACGCTGGGGTGAAGGCCTGCAGGAGTCAGGTGCGGGGAGGTAGGGCTACGAGTCTTGGTGTGTCTCTGCCGCTAACATTGATTAGGGAAAGAGGCAGTTCTGAACACCTCTGCCCACCCTCAGGACGCCTGGCCACACGCATTCCAGAAACCCTGTCTGGCCAGGGAGGCGGCCTCTCACTCCTTCTCAGCAACAGCAGAAGGACTGGCATTCGGGAACGTGGCTGCCCAAGCCGAACCATGAGGCCTCCTGATGAAGCTGATGAGCTCCGCCCTCTGCCCGCCTGCTGTGGGCTAGGAAAGCCAGTGGTCACTGTCCCTAGCCCTGGGGCAAAGTTTGGTTGCCAAAGTCTTTCCTTATGGAATGAGGGGGTGAGGGGGCAGCTGAGCAGTAATGTCATGGAATTGGCCGGGTGTGGAAAGCAGAGAAAAGGGGATACAAGTTCGGGGGAGGGGGTTCAACCCTGAATATCTGATGCGAGGCCAAGGACTCTCCACATTTACTGATCGGTACAGTGGCTTGGGCCCCGCAGGTTTGGGAGCGGGCAGGAGTGCTCACATCTTTGGAGGGCTTGCGGAGAATGTCGCCTACACCACCACCGTTGCGTAGCCCATGGTTCATGACAGTGACGATGCACATCAGCAGAGTGTCACAGGCCCGCTCTGTGCTGTCCAGCTCCCCATCCTCTGCAGGCAGAGTGTGCTCAGGCCCAGGCTGTCAGCTCCTCCCTCCTCACCCAGACTCCCACACACACACCACCCTCACCTTCCAGGACCTCGGGCACCGAGACCCCTGAGACACAGTCCATCTTGTCCCCACTGCAGGTGTCCACAAATGCAGCAGCTCCATGTGGCATCCCCAGGGGGCTGGCTGGAGGGGACATGGATGAGGTCACCAGGAGGTCCAGTCCCTGGCCTTATCATGCCCTGGCTCTGTCCCCAGCGTCACATCCTCCAGGAAACCTTCCCTGATCCTGCCAGCCCTCCACTGTCTGGCCACAGTGAAAGGTCATCACGCCTCTGCCCCCCACTGGGTTGCACACTAAGGGCAGGGAGGGGTCTCTGTACCCCTAGGCCTGGCACACGGGCAGCTTCTGCAAATACTGGGTTTAACATGAATGACAGTGCAAGGAGCTCCAGCCCTCAAGCAAGGGGTTCCTTAGGGGCCAGAGACCCAAGGCTCTCCCACCCACTCAGTGTGTTCCGGAAAAGAGCGAGGCAGACTGGTGTGAGCTAGACGTCCCCAGAAGCCAAGAGGAGAAGCAGACGGGAGCCTGGTGAGGTAAGCGCTGCAGGTCCTGGTCCTGATGCCAGACACTTGTGAGACCCAACCTCATTCCCCACAACCTGCCCAGGAGAGGAAGCCTCCAAGACCTGTGGAGTGGTTGTTGGGCAGTCGGTCGACCTCAAGGATGAAGTCATCCTTGAGGAAGAGGAAGCCAACGATGGAGAAGAGGTAGACCAGGATGAGGGCCAGCAGGGCTGTCAGCAGGATGGAGCGGCCATTGCGGGTCACACTCTTGATGACGTTGAACAGGGTCTCCTCGCGGTAGATGAGGTCAAAGAGCTGCAGGATGGGGTTGAGATAGGGATGGCGCCTTGAGGGGCTGGGCCAGCCAATCTCGCTGGGGATGCCACTGGAACCCTGAGGGCTGCCCGGGCTCCAGAGTTTCCCAAGGCTCCTCTAGGGAGGTCTCTGCACTTAGTCAGGAGTAACCAAGCTGGGTGGGTCTGTCAGGGAAGCTTCTCAAAGAACCTGGAATTCTAGGGTCACAGAAAGGGAGTGGCCCAGGGGAAGGCACGAGGGGTGAAACGGGTGGCTGAATACCAGCTAACTCTTACAATGCCTTTGCTACATGCCAGGAAACAGTATAAGTGCTTTCCATGCATTAGCTCATTTCATCTCACAATTATTTTAGAAGGCAGGGGCTGTTGTAATCACCATTTTACAGGTGAGGAAACTGAGGCATGGGGCAGTTAAGAAACTTGCCCAGTTACACAGCTAGTAGTAGCCCAGCTGAGATGCAAACCCCTGGTCCAGCTCCAGAGTCCAGGCTTGAACCACCACTGTACAGGAGAAAGGGGTCAGATGGCCACCAGGAGTGGCCATCAGGGCCTTGAGGGCCAGGCTTGGGTAAGGCAGAGGAAGACTGAAATCTCACTGCTCCCAGTCCAGCAGCAAAAGGACTGGACAGAGAGACTGGTGACAGGGAACTGCCAACAACTCACGGGAAGCCTCAACCGCCTCATGCCCCCATCCAGCCCCAGCCCACCCAGAAGGCCTCACCAGGATGCTGTAGAACAGCTCATGAGCAAAGAGGCCCAGGACACTGGTCAGGATGTAGCCCACGTGGTAGAGGAATTCCATGTCCATGACCATGGCCTTATAGCCCCGGATGAAGGTGCCACGGTTGCCCACGAAGCTCACCACAAACACGATCTTATTGGTCAGCTGGGGGCGAGTGCAAGGCATGAGGGTCAGTACCCTACCACCTACCCTGAATCTGCACACATGCCTCCCCAGTGCCCAGCTCAGAGCCTGGGAGGCACGGCATTAACGAAATTGCTTCCAGAAATACATCTGGGCGCCTGGGACTCAGGATACAGAAGCAGCCCCTTGGGTCCTCAGTTCCAGGAAGACAGTGACGTATAGGCAAAGGAGGATGGGGACAGAGAAGACCACTGACTGGGTCTATCAGGCAAAGGTGTTCCTTGCTCAAAGCACTTTATTTCCATCTGTCAGGAGATTGTCATTATATATGAATCTTCACATCTGCCGCGTAGCAGTGCCCCTGGGCAGTGCACAGCCAGCAGTGTGCACAGCCACCCTGACCCTGTTGTTCCAAAGGGACTCTTGAATTTCTGTCTCTGGGTGCCAGCTGCCCTCAGATGTTGAGGGAGAGGAAGAAGGCACAGAACAGTCCCTGCCATCGGTCTATAAGGAACTTGGGAGCCCAACAGAGAGGAGGAGATGGGACGGAGCAGGGGCTTCTGGAAGCAGCAGGCCAGCTTGCCGTCTGAATGCAGTGAGCATGAGCTTGTTTGGGAATGGGGGCTCCCTCTGGCACTTACATTGAGGGCACCCAGGATGTTGAGCGTGGGCCCGATGCCCAGATAGTAGATGGAGCGTAGGATGAGCGCCACGATGAGGGGGCGAATGCTGTAGCGCTTGGTGAACAGGGCCGCGATGGAGAAGCAGATGAGGATCCAGAACAGCAGTGAGATGAGAGGGGAGTCCAGCACGCCTGGGGGCCAGGGGCAGGGTGAGAAGGGCTCCCTCAAGCCCACCACAGCCCCAGAGCAGGTCCAACAGGTGCCGAAAAGCCACCTTCTCCTGGCAGCCTTCTCGGTTAAGTTCCTGGTGCCTGGTTTTAGCCTCCTCCATTACACCTGCCCCTCAGGCCTAAGCGGGAGGCCCTTTGCAGCTGCGGCTACCAGGTCTTGTTTCTGGCTGACACATCTGTGCATGTGCACGTGCACGCATGCGCCATCTCCCATGAGGTCAAAGACCCTGACCATCCCCTTGGACCGCACCTGTGTCTCCATGATGTGGTGAGAGCCCACAGGATGGCGCAAGGGGGTGCTTTTGCACACTCTGCATCTGGTCCCCTCAGAGGCCGGCTGGCCTCAAGGCTCTGCCCCAACCCAGGAAGGAGGCATGGCAGGGCCAGGGGAACCTGCCGGCCAGCCCTGTGTTCTCACCTGTGGACGCGCCCTCCATGTAGGGGTAGAAGAAGGCAATGATGATGTTGATAAACACAGCCAGGTTGAAGGAGATGCTGCCCCACAGGGTCATGCGGCGGGAGAACCAGTAGATCAGCGGCATGCCTGAGGAGGGCAACGGCGAGCTGCTGGAGGGCCCTGATGAGCACCCTCTGTCCCTCGCATGCGGGGACCCGCTCAGGAGGAAGCCACACATGGAAGAGCGCTTCCTTGGGGTGGGGCGGGGGTGGGCGCAGGGCACCCACAGGCAGGCAAGGGAGGCCATTATAACAGGGTGTCAGTGAGCAGCTCCAGACCGCCCCACCCTCCCGCCCGCGGGTCTCACTGCGGAGCTTGCGCTGCCACTCCATCTCGTTGTGCAGGAAGGAGGACTGGTCAAAGAAGTCGCTCACTTTGCTGCCCTGCTCGTCCTGCTCGGTAGTGGTGAAGAGCCGGTGCTTGGTCTCCTCCGTCAGGAACTGGCAGATGCCGGGCACTGGGAACACGATCTGCTCCATGCTGCGGTCCTGCCGCACAATCTGAGCACACACAGCACATGGTCACACCCGGCCCAGGCCCCCACGCCCACCCCTGCTGCCCACAGGCCCACCTCGATCTGGGACGTGTGGTTCTCGTAGTAGGCCAGGGGGTCTTCCTCCTCCTCCTGTGCTGGCACTGAGGACTTGAGCATCTGTGACAGCTGCTTGTTGTTGAGGCTGAGCTGGAGATGGGGAGGGCATGGAGGTCAGACCCCAGCCTGCACATCCAGGCCTGGCACTCAGCCCCTAGCCTCCCAGGCCTTCCCCCAGCTCTGAACTTCAGCGAGTGTTCCCGCCAAGCCAGACCAGGCCAAGCCCAGCCCAACTAGGACTTAGCCTCGAGAATCTGGTGCCAAAGGGAGGGGAGTGGGAGAGCCATTACCAGAGAATCCCAGAGGATAGCCGGGGCCTTCCTCAGTCCTGCCCAAGTGCAGCCCAGGTCCTGCTTAAAGCTTCCAGAACCACCCCAGACCCACCTGAGCCTTGCTTCCATTTCTCAGTCTGGGTTTCACCCCTGGCTGCCAGTCCCGATCAGCCTCCTGAGCTGTACCCCCAAATTCTAGCCTGGCTCATATTCTAGGGCCTCACTCTGTTCCAGGCCACGCCCTTGGGTCGAGGCTCCTCCCTGGGCTCCAGGCCCTGCCCCCACCCCAGTCTCGGGGCCAGCACCCACCATGGAAGAGATACCCTCGGCCTCCTCCTCTTGAATGCGCTTCACCGGCTTCAGCAGGTGCTGCAGCTGTTTATTGTGCCTGGAGAGCTGAGGGAAAAGGCAGCACAGTCACCAGGGCATGGTGGCTGGGGGACAATGATGGTGACTGGGGGGTGATGGCAGCTGGGGGGG